CTAAGCTAAAGAGGAACATCAAATGACTCACAGAAAAAAAAAAAAAAAAAAAAAAGAGAAAGCATTCACGTGTTTATAGTTTAAGCTGGATGTTAAATAACAAAAGATATTTCAACTCCTACAAAGCAAAACCAATTATTAACTAACAGTTTACAAATACATAAAGAAAGAATCAATAACTGATTGATACATAATCACACCATAAAAGGAAAGTAGATGGACCTTTTAATAGTTAACAACATAGACGAATAGAATCATGATTCAAGAAGCGCTCATCATCACTATCATCATAAATCATAAAGGGAAAGTATACAGAATTTTTTTGTCTTAACTAATTCTCAGATAAAAAATGGAAGATAAAAAATATTTCACCATCATCATCAGAAAGGAAAGTAGAAGAAAATTACGGTTTGATTGATTCTAATTCTAATAGTTAACAAGAAGTACAACGTTTTCATCATCATCACCACCAAAGGAAAGTAGATACAGATATAGCTACTGAGGATTCAAAAGTCACTAGGGGAGTGGTAAAGAGAGACAAGAATGTTACCTTGATGAAAACATTCTCAGCAGCTTTTTCCTCTTCGCTAAGAACTTTGCCACTAGAGAACCTTCGAGACACAAACCTCATAGCGCTTCTTGTTGCCATTGATTTAAATGAACCAATTTATTATTATCCTGTGAATTAAAAATAATATAAAGGTAAAACATCTCATCTTCCACACTCACAATTATTTTCGTCATTGTCAATTCATACAAATGAAAGTAACTCTTTGTTCACATCACTCAAGATACTAAATCAACTAGTAGTTTACAAATGAAAGCTCTGAATCTGAAGCATAATCATCCACAGAATACGAGGACTAAAGACGAAACAAGATTAGCTACTACACAATAAAACACGTATCTATATCAAATGGAATAAAATAAGCAAAACATAATCATGTTCCGGAACACAGAGAAACGAAACAGAAATTCCTAAAACAAAAAATAGTTGGTCATCGATGGCAATGACTAGATCGATAGATATGTGAAATCAATTTGTAAACTAATCGAAAACAACGAGAATATAGGAATCGTAAACGTAGAAGATTGATCGATCGTAACGGGAGAGAGAGAACCTCGTTGAAGAGCGTCCAGATGAAAACCGCTTCACGGAAAAATGACACTGAAGAAATGAACAACAGGTGGAAGTGGAAGGAGGGATCGAGGAGTTAAATGGGCTGTAACATCCCTTTTTGGGCCTAAAAGATTAATTTTGTGGGCTTTAGAATTCGAGCACAAAGGACCTGTTATTGACTAAAGTAATTTTTTTTTTGTCAAACTAAGAGCACCCACAGTAGGGGTTTATATGGGGTTCATTGGGTAAGGTTCATGGATTTATTGGTCCAAAAATAAATCAAAATTGGGCTTTTTCTGGTGACCCGGGTCTCTCGAGAGAGCTCTTGTGAGCCCGTCTCATTCCACGTGTCGCGCAACGGGTGGGCCGTGGATTAAGTTCGAAAACACGGAAACGAGAAATGAAAATCATTTTCTCCTCTTGTTCGCGAAAGTAGGGTTTGCTCTCTCCGAAGGCGATTTTGGTGCGACGGCTCCTCTTCCGATTTCTCCATCAAATCGACGACTCTCCGTGTAGTCATCTTGCTCAGGTGAGTGTCGAATAGATTCAGGGTCTGTTCCTCATCGATTTGGGATCGAAATCGTTTTCTCTTCTTTCCAAATCTGAAATCGATTTGGGGCTTTTGGGTTAGGATTCTAAATACAGGTAGGGGGATCGATTTAGAACCCTAAAACGACAAGCATGTTTTGATTTACGGTTTGTTTTACTGTTTTAGGGTTAGGGTTTCAATTGAAAGGGGGCTTCGTTTTAGGGTTAAAAATCGATAAAGGGGGTTTCGATTAGGGTATAAAATTGACATGCATGTTTGATTTACGGTTTGTTTTACAGTGAATTGAAATCGTTTTGGGGGGGGGTTTAGAGTTAGGGTTTCAATTGAAAGGGGGCTTCGATTTAGGGTTAAAAAATGATAAAGGGGGTTTCGATTAGGGTTTAAAATTGATTCACGGTTTGTTTAAAATTGATTTACGGTTTTATGGGGATTTTGGGTTAGGGTTTAGTGATTAATTCACGGTTTTTTTAAAATTGATTTACGGTTTTATGGGGCTTTTGGGTTAGGGTTCTAATTTTATTAACGGTTAGTTTAAAATTGATTTACGGTTTTATGTAGTTGTCTTTTATTAATTTTGTTTTCTTTTCTTGTAGAGATGGATCCTGCAGATGAGAGAAGAGCTTTCAAGAAAAATAAGGAACACATCGACATGTTATATGCCGTGGCTGATTCCCAATTTGGGATTCCAAAACAGTGTCCATGTGGAGGCAAAATAATCGATGAGGTTACGGGGAAACAAGACTACAGCCGCTTCTTCACGTGTGCTAACTACTCGGTAAGAATCGTCAATGTTTAATAAATCGTCAATGTTTAATAAACAAGACTACAGCCGCTTATTTGTTTGTGTTACCAACAAGGATGACGGTTTACATTATCGTCATCCTTGGGTTATTGGCATCCAGGAGGAGATCGAGATGTTGACTAAGAGGGTGGAGAATGCTGAGCAGATGATAAATTCGATCTCTACAATCAATAAACAGATTGAGTTTTTAGAGGTTAGTTTTCTTGTTTAATTATTTTAGTGAACTATAGTTGCTAGTGTTTGTATATCTGTTTAGTTTTTGTGTTTATTAACACTGTATCTTTTTGTGTTAATGTGGCCAGGAACAGGTGAAAGTCCTAAACGGGCAAGTTGATTATCTGACGGTGCACCTCCGTGACTTGGAGAGGCTCTGCTTCTTCTGAAACACTAGGTAATTCTCCTAAACTGAAGAATGGTGTTGAATGCTTAAGTCGATGGTGTTGGTTGTTGAGTGTGATGAATGCTTGCTATTAAAGGAGTAGACTTACTAAAATCGTAGACTTAAAATCAACAATAAATTAAAAGAGTAGACTTTAAAAATATTTTAAAAGAGTACACTTTAAAAAATATTTGGTTGTTGGCTGTGATTAAAACGAACAAGAACGTTAAAGCTGTTTGGTTGTTGGCTGTGATTAAAACGAACAAGAACTTATTAAAAGAATAGACTTTAAAAATATTTTAAACTTACACAATTTTTTAAAAGCCTGTCTTGGTTGTTGAGTGTGATGAATGTTTCTATTTTCGTACTGATTTGATGTGTTATAATGAATGGTTGTTGTGACAAGGTTGTTGTGCAATTAAGTATAATCAATTTTGGTAGTTAGATTGTGTCTAAAATGTAGTATAAAAACACTTTCAATCCACTTCTAAAATCACATTAACTTAAAAACACTTAAGAAAACCTAAACCATAACCGAGAATGGATCCTTTTTCCTCAAGCTCTCCCGGGTTTGTTGACCTATTAGCTTCGCAGTACAGTCCAATAGACTTGGACTATGCTGAAGCAGTAAGCAACTCTCCCGGGTCTGTTAAACCATTGCTTAAGAGAAAGTGGTTAGTGAAAGAGGATCTTGTGCTCATCAGTGCCTGGTTGAACACCAGCAAGGATCCGATTGTTGGTAATGAGCAGAAGGGGGGATGCTTTTGGAAGAGAATCGAGCAATATTTCAACTCTAGCACTCAGCTCACTGGCTTTGTTCCTAGAGAGTGGAGCCAGTGTAAGCAAAGGTGGGGAAGAATCAACGAGCAAGTATGCAAGTTCGTGGGAAGCTACGAGGCGGCTATGAAGGCTCAAGGAAGTGGCCAATCTGACAATGATCTCATGACGTCTGCTCATGCCATCTTCTTCCTAGACTACAAGGTCAAGTTCAACATGGAACACTGTTGGAGAGAGTTGAGGTTCGATCAGAAATGGAAGTCACAGTCGCTGTCCAAAGATGGTCCGAAGGAGAAAAGGCAGGAACCCCCACAGGTTGTGCCTGACGAGGAAGAGGCTAGACCTCCGGGAGTGAAGGCTTCCAAAGCAGCCAAGCGGAACAAAGTCGGGAAAGGACCAGCTTTCGATCAGACAGAGACCATTCTTGCAATGAGACAAGACATTAACAAGCAGAAACTGCTTGAACGTCTCCTTGCCAAAAAAGAAACAGAACTTTCACCTAATGAAATCTCTCTGAAAAATAAGCTCATATCTGAAATGGTTGATTGAAATGGTAGCATTGTCTTAGCTTTTTTGTTTGCTTTATTGAATATTTTCTTCTGTGATTCTTTACTGATTAATTTTTATTGCTTTTTGCAGGTACTGTGGTGTTCAAGAATGCAAGAAGCAGTGAAGTATTTTGGGAGTTGTAGGTCAAGGATGTAGTGTAGTGTTCACGGATGCAAGAAGCAGGGTAGTATTTTGTTTCTTTCTACTCTGTTTTGTATGTATTATTTCTGGTGGCAGGTCACGGGTAGTGTTTTGGTCTCTCCTGTCTGTTTTGGAGAGGTCACGGGTAGTGTTTTGGAGAGGTCACGGGTGTACAATTTTGTTTCTTTGTACACGGATTGTTGTTGTAGTATTTGTCACGGATTATGTACTCCCTCCCTTTATAAAAACTATGTCTCTTTGTTTCATTTCTGCAAGAACGAAGAGACTTTCAGTTTCTATAACTCTCTCTTTGTGCTCCCAAACCTCTCTACAACAAACCTAGACTACAACAAATTCATCAGAGCATCCAAACTTATTTCTTTAAAAGGTTTTGTTTCAATACAAATTCTTCTTTGTTTATACACATTCTACTTTCCCTATCTTTTTTATAACATACATGGTCTTTTTTTTTTGGGTTCAAAACATATATAATCTCTAAAAGTATCAAAATATTTGTTTATTCAACTTAGTAAAGTACATCTAATTCTATTCTTTTGTTTGCGTAAATTTGAATTTATGTTTCAAAAAAAAAAAAAATCCATCCAAATTTGAAGTCCCTACGGGTTAATAAGAATGTACTTTTTAAATTATAATTGTATGTTAACATCAAATATATTTTTTTGTTGTTGTTAGGATATTTAAAAAATGTCTTCCTCGTCAAGTGATCAAGAAGATGAAGTTCTTGATGAAATAGTCGATCAACATGTGGATGATTTGGTCGACTCTTTTCTGGATGGTCTACACAACAAGCCGAAAAAACGAGCTCACGTCGAAAGAAATCGGGAACAAGGACACGTACAACTTTGGAACGACTATTTTTGTGACAATCCTACATACTCACCAGAAATGTTTAGGAGGCGTTTTCGAATGAACAAGCCTTTGTTCCTTCGCATTGTCGATCGTCTCAGTAATGAAGTTCCGTACTTTGAACAAAGAAGAAATGCTCATGGAAGGTTAGGGCTTTCTGC